GTCTCACTCTGTCACCCAGGCTGGAGCACAATAGTGCAATCATAGCTCACCGCAGCCTTGATCTCCTGGGTTCAAGCAGTCTTCCTGCTTCAGTCTCCCAAGTAACTAGGACTACAGGCATGCACCACCATGCCTGATGAATCTTTAAAACTGTTTTTGTAAACATGGAGGTCCTGCTATTGCCAAGGCTGGTCTTGAACTCCTGAAACTCTGGCCTCCCAAAGTGCTGGGATTACAGGCATGAGCCAATGTACTTGGCCACTCGATTTCTTTAAAAGTTCCTGAAGTGACATAGTTTCTAGTTCTTTCACCGTCCTGGTTGATCTCCTTTGAAAGACAGTGAGAACATCCTTATCTTTAATTCTTTGAATAATAGTAGAAAGCTACTTAAACGCAAAAACCACATATACTGAAACAAAGAAGAGTGGAAATTTGATAAATGTTTATTGACTTGCTGATTCAAAAAAACAGTGCAGCTGAGAAGTCTGATCAGCTCAGGAAAGAGTGGGATTTGGCAACGAATATGTTATCTAACAAAATCTGAGTAATTTATCACCTTTTAACATCTTCAACATATTTATAATACAAATATTTTTTAAAAAACAGATTATTAAACTAATACTCCCCTGGAAGAACAAGAGGACTAATTTTTGGTGACAACAGACTTGTGCTGATCCATCATCTGGAACTCCTAAAGACCTGAATGGCTGACTGGGATTAGTGACTACTATCTGGTTTTACTCTACTAAGCCCATGATTTTGTGTTTTAACCAATTAAGAACATTATCCCAAAGCACAATGAAAATAGCCTAGGTCTGAATACCACCAGTTTTTTGGCAACAGTCCTGCTTCTTGCCTTTTTCTCATCCTCATCTGCAGCTTTCTTGAATTCATGTTCAAAGGAGCTAGCTAGTTCATTGAAGAGTCCCACCTCCTCACAGTTCTTCAGGAATCTAGTTGGAGTAGGAGTTTGATCTGTAGACATGAAAGAAAAGGAAACTGTTTTAGTTTTGATCTGAAATTAAAACTTGATATTAAATAGTATATAGATAATGCATTTGTACTTTCTGATTTGGAGATAGAGTCTTTGTGTTAGGGCAAATTTGCTTTAATGAAACTCTAGTAGGTGAAGGCTGGTGCTAGGCCACCAGAGGGTGTCTGTGTTGTGTTGCCTCAAAGCCAGCAGGGGGAAGACAGAACAGCGTTTTGTTGTGTGACTATCCATGTACCCACTTTTCTCTCAGTGCTAGTTTTACCTCGTTTACCTCCAACCAAACCAAACTACCCACACAGGTGACACAGTTTTGTGAAACCTCTAGATTTGAAAACTAAGTATAGTTAAGCAATGTTTTCTTTTGTAAACTTACTCCCTGCTAGCTAGATCTGAAGTGAGCAGAAAAAGCAGATGAATGTTAAAATCTGATGAGAAGAAACTGAGGATCAGATGGTTGAGTTTGCTGACTAAAGCTACCAAGTAAGAAATAGTGCCTTGTCTTTCAGTGGTCACTGAGGTAATAATGGTCTGTTACCTTCTGAAGGATTCCAGGCAAATCTAGGGGCTGAGGAGTAAGACAGCAAGATCATGAGCTGGAGAAGGAAACTGCAAACAATAGACCTAATTTCACAGAGACCTAGGCCCAGAGCAAGTTCCCGAAACCAGGATATTTGGATTTAGTTTTGCCAGCCAAAATATGCCCACAGGGGCTGCACGAATCTCTCCTCAACACTGTGCCTCTGCCCTTGGGAAGAGAAAGGCTCTTGGTAAACCATTGGAACTTTTTAAGCAACCTGAATTTTACATTTGAGCTTCTCCCTCCCAATCCTGCTTCTTTAGACCTGAATCTTGTTCACGGATCCTAACTCTATTACGATGGCTTTCCTTGGCATGCTACTTCAGGGATTCATCTCATACCCTAAACCACTAGAATGAATGAAAAAAATAGAGAACAATGTTTAAATGATACTTTAAGGAGTGAGACCTGGGGTTAAAATCACCCCTTCTTGGCCGGGCGCAGTGGCTCACGCCTATAATCCCAGTACTTTGGGAGGCTGAGATGGGTGTATCACTTGACGTCAGGTGTTTGAGACCAGCCTGGCCAACATGGTGAAACTCCGTCTCTACAAAAAATACAAAAATTAGGTGGGCATGGTGGCAGGCTCCTGTAGTCCCAGCTACTCAGGAGGCCGAGGCAGGAGAATCCCTTGAACCCAGGAGGTGGAGGCTGCAGTGAGCCGAGATTACTGCCACTGCACTCCAGCCTGGGCAACAGAGTGAGACTCTGTCTCAAAACAAACAAACAAACAAAATACAAAAAAAAAAAAAACACACCCCTTCCAGCCTGATCAGTTGAAAATAGTACAGTGGGACTTTCCATGGAAATAGCACGATTTTTATAAAAAATTTAAACAAAACCTCTTCTGAATCAGAGTGTTTGGAAAAGTTACCACTATTTCTCAAAATAGTTTTAAAAGGTTCTCTGGCAGCTTTGGTTGGCTAATGATAAAGCCACTTTCCCTCCATCCCTGGGTGAGTAGAAGTAATATCATCCTTTATGCTTAGAGAGTACTTTAATAAGGGCATACCCAAAATCACAACTCAAGTGGAACAGGAGGGGGCAGCTAAGGGCATGGCTACGGCAGAGGAGGGACTTTCAGACCTTTGATATGAGGCTCAAACAAACTTCTCCTGGCCCTGCTGTTCAGGCTCATTTCTGGTTTTTTAAAGGCTCCCCTGTGTCAAATCTAATTCCTCACTTTGCAGGTGGCCTCTAACTTTCAAATGGCTCTGCTTTGTGAACAAACAGACTGAAAATATATCAGAGAACCCTGAACCTGCTCTAACGAATCCTAAAAAAAATCAGTAAGTTTTTGTTTTGTTTTGTTTTGACACAGAGTTTCCCTCTTGCTGCCCAGGCTGGAGTGCAATGGCGCTATCTCAGCTCACTGCAACCTCCGCCTCACCGCAACCTCTGCCTCCCGGGTTCAAGGGATCCTCCTGACCCAGCTTCCCGAGTAGCTGGGATTACAGGCACGCACCACTATGCCCAGCTAATTTTGTATTTTTAGTAGAGACGGGGTTTCTCCATGTTGGTCAGGCTGGTCTCGAACTCTCGACCTCAGGTGATCCACTTGCCTCAGCCTCCCAAAGTGCTGGGATTACAGGCGTGAGCCACCGCGCCTAGCCAAAAAAATCAGTAAGTTTTTACTGAATACTTTCTATATGTTTTGGTGCTACATGCATACACTTGTGTATATGTTTGGGGGAGGGAAGGGATAGGAAGATAGGAGTATTGCCCAGATTTAAGACATGGCTCTTAGGCTGGGGGCAGTGGCTAAGGCCTGCAATCCCGGCACTTTGGAAGGCCAAGGCAGGTAGATCCCCTCTTGAGCTCAGGAGTTCAAGACCAGCCTGGGCAACATGGTGAAACTCCATCTCTACAAAAAATACAAAAATTGGCTTGGTGCGGTGGCTCACACCTGTAATCCCAACGCTATAGGAGGCCAAGGCGAGTGGATCACCTGAGGTTGGGAGTTTGAGACCAACCTGACTGACATGGAGAAACCCTGTCTCTACTAAAAACACAAAATTAGCCAGGCATGGTGGTGCATGCCTATAATCCCGGCTACTTGGGAGGGTGAGGCAGGAGAATTGCTTAAACCTGGGAGGCAGATGTTGCGGTGAGCCAAGATTGCACCACTGAACTCCAGCTTGGGCAACAAGAGTGAAACTCCGTCTCAAAACAAAAAAAAAGAAAAAAGAAAAAAAAAACACAACAAAAATTAACCAGTGTGGTGGTGCATGCCTGTGATCCTAGTTTTTTCAGAGACTGGCTTAAG